CTCTGCTCACCAAAAAACATTTATGAAAAATATGGATTTGTCTTAATGAAACTTGATAAGATTGCTTAAAAATTTGCAATAAAGAAAGCCAAATAATTATATTTAAAGAAGTTTTTGTCAGTTTAAAAACAAAATGATCAATTCTATTCCTAAAATCACCCTAATCTTCACGTAAAAGCTTGCTCAAAATATAACTACTTGCTACACACTTGAATAATTTAGTGAAAAAATCTTAAATTTATCACACTAAGGCTATGTTTGGGCAGGCGGTGGGAATGCGGCGCGGTGCCGTGCCACATTTTTTTTTTTGGGGGGCGTTTAGTTTAGCGCTCCTACCGATGCTTCCCGCGATTCAGATCGAAAGCAGAAAGTGGGTTAAGCCGCGACCAAGCTTCATGGACGCAACTTTTACCCCCATGCCCCTTTGCCCTATCCCGCGAAATAGAAGCCGCGATCTTCTTCCCTTCCCCTCCTCTTTTCTGACTGGTGACAGTTCCTGTTCTTCTTTCTCTTCTCTTCTTGTTCTCGTGATCTCCTCACAACAAATGTAAGAAATTTTTTTTTCTTGCATGACTGTTAGATCTGCTGCTGGGTAAATATGATCTGGAATGTAGTTTCTTTGGGGTTATATTGCCTGTTAGATCGCAAAATCCATACCCCCGTGCCCCTTTTCTCGTATGTCTGTTAAATCTCCTCGCACTTGCTTAGTTGTTGGGTAAATTTTTTTTCTGGTTGTGGTTTCTTTGTTACATATATATACATATCTAAGACTTATATTAATTACATAACAATAATTAATTAATTGTCTAACACTTAAATTTATTACATATTTACACTTTCAAGTTTTAATAATTTCTTACATAATAAATTTTGTTTATGGAGTTTTAAAAATGTAGTTGTTGCAGTCTTCTTTTAAACAAATTTACCATACAAGACAACATGATTATTTTTTCAGAAACAATTGTTCTACAACTGTTTTCACACAGCTGCACCAAACATGCAGTCAGCTTCCCCACAGCGTATTTCTGGCGCAACACAACTGCAGCTGAAAAGCTGAGAAGCTACAGCCACCCCAAACAGAGCCTAAAACAAAAAATGAAGCAATTTTACCTTCTATTGTCCTTTTCAAAGAAGATAAACTTTTGTTAAAAAAAAAAGATGTTAAAATTAGAAAATCACCCATCTAAAGTCAATAATCACCTTGAAAGATAAATCTCTAGCTGCAAAAGGACTGTCTATCAATTTATAAGTTAGTTCAGAAGCTTGACATGCAACGGTTGGGCATGCAAGAGGGACATCAACATGTGCTTCTAGGAAAGTCATTAATTAAATCATGGTGACTTCAATTTTCTCTATACTCACCTCAACAAAAACAAGCCTTACTTTCTATCTCTTATTTCCCCCATATACGAGAGAGAATATTTCAAAAGCTATATAATTTCATTTATAAAATAAAAATATTAAAATAATTATCACAAAATAGTATTTACATCACTATTTACTTATGGTGAGTCGGTACAACTTGCAAACTACATCATTTAAAACGAGACATTCACATACATACAACACGGTTCTTATATAGTTACATATCCATCACCTAAACATTCATATTTAGAAGCTCACCACTCAAATATTTACCATTACATCAAAAATATCATCATTACCATCTTTTTAAAACACATTTTCATATATAGGTTTATGACACCAAAATGTAATAAATGTAAATATCAAACTTTGGATGTTAGATATATGCAAACATAAGAACTGTCAGGTATGTATGTAAATTTTTCAAAAATGCTAACCAACCATTGTGTTGCATCTCAAACTGACCTTCAACTTCTGCTTTATAGTACAAAAATTTATAGTAGAGGATTATAGAAAACCACAAGGGATTGTTACTGTTGATGCAGCCAAAACAGAGTGAGGATCGAGCCATGGCTCGCGCGAAATGAGAATGGATTGATCTGCAACTAAAAATTCCCAGCTGTCCCATTCATTTTGGCCAACTGACATTCAATTCATTCAAAATCAAAAAATAAATTCTAAGATACAAAACATACGACTCAAGTCTTACGTAATTAAATATCTAACATCTTAACATTTAATTCTTACATAAATGTCACCTTAACTTTGCATGAAAATGTGTTTTTCACTTTTTAAAGTTAAAATAGCGATATTTTTTATGTGATATGAAAGATTGGGGTGATATATATGCGAAAAGCAAAGTTTAGGTGCTAGATATATAAAAACATAAGAATTGAGTGGCATGTATGTCTCCAAATGATCAAATCCCAACCATCCAAAACAGATCAGATGGGAGAGAACCTTAACAATACCTCTACATTTACCAAAGAAATTGCAAGGGATTCAGATAGTTTTTATGGTAGCTGATTCACCTTGATGACTCTACTATTGCAAAAACTCATGCAACATGGCATGGAGCACAAGCTGCAAAACTGACTCTTCTGCACTAATCCTTAGGGATCCATAAAAAATGGATTAAAACAAGGGGATAGTTACATTGTCTGATATAAACTTTAAAACTGAAGAAAACAATTCTGTATTTGAGAAGGCATGAACAACAAAGAGCTGCAAGTATCGTTAACTGTTTATGTTTCAGTTCACTAACAAACAACGTTTTTGAGAAAACCCATAAAAAATACTTGGAATAACATCCAAATTCGAAAAATATACTCATATAACATCCAAATTAGAAAAGCTTACCTTATTGTAAGCTTTTCTAAATCAATAAAAATCATATGTAGATCCTATTTATTTTCTTTGAACTTCTCCATCAAACCTCTCAATAAATGTAAAGCTTCCATAGTGGACCTGCTCGGCATAAATCCAAATTGATTATGAGAAATCGTTGTAATACATCTTAACCTATGTTCAATTATCCTCTCCCATAATTTTAAAGTATGACACAACAACTTAATTCCTCCATAATTTGCACACTCTTGTGCATCCCCTTTATTCTTAAAAATGGGGACCAAAATACTTTCCCTTCACTCCTCAGGCATCTTTCTAGTTTTTTAAATAATATAAGAGTTTAGTAAGCCAAGAAACTCTCAAATCTCCTATATATTTCCACACTTCAATTGAAATATCATCAGGTCCCATAGACTTTCCACCCTTGGTTTTTTTAAAACCTCATCAACTTCTTTTTTATTGATGCGACAACAAAACTCAAACATTTCATTATTATTAACAGTATTAAAATCAACAAGGTCGATCGTATTTTCAGAAACTCCATCAAAAAGTTTACCAAATAACTCACCCACCTATGTTGAATATTTTTTTCTAAGAAAAACACTTTGATTTTCATCTTTAATACACTTTACTTGAGTTAGATCTTTATTTTTCTTATCTCTTTGCTTGACTAATTTATACATATATTTTTCACCCTTATTAGTATCTAACATATTATAAAGATCATTAAAACATAATTTTTAACGTCACAGATTATTCTCTTAGACTCCCTACGAATCATTTGATATTTTTCTCAGTTCTCTAAGCTTTGACATTTAAACCAATTTTTTATAACATAACTTCTTATATTTTAAATTTTATTACACATTATTATTCCATCACTAACTATTTTTATTTATAGAAACATTTTCTTTTGATTCTCCAAGTACCTCTTGTCACTTGTTTAATAGTGTTTATTGTTTTATCCCACATAGACTTTGCTCCTTCATGGACATCCCAAATCTTGAAATCTTGAATTGCTCATAAAAATAATTTTATGTGTCTTTTAGATACCCTCATCTAATTCTACGATGATGATTCATAGTATTCTTTATTTTACAACTCATCTTAAAATCTAGAACTAATAATCGATGTTGAGCACTTAAATCCTCACTTGGAATGACCTTACAATCTTTATATTCTCGACGATCTCTTCTTCTCATAATAAAATTATCAAATTGTGTTTTATTAGATCCATTTTTATAAATACTAATATGCTCATCTATTTTTTAAAATAAAATATTAGCAATAACGAAATCATATGCTAAGGCAAAATCTAATATGGCTTTACCTTCTTCATTAATCACTCCAAATTAGTAGCCACCATGAATATTTCTAAAATTTTATACCACTCTACCAACATGTCCATTTAAATCACTTCCAATAAAAATTCTTTTTCAAGAGGTATCATTTGTATTAGGGGTCCAAAATTTATCTTTAGAACATATATCTAAACCTACTTGAGGAGCATATACAGTTATAATATTAAAAATCTTAGTATCAGCAATAATCTTAAGTGTCATAATTCTATCTCCAATTCTATTAATTTTTACAACATTATCTTTCAAACTCTTATCTATAATTACGCCTATACTATTTTTAGTGCGACTCTTACCTGAATACCAAAGTTTAAAACCAAAGTTATTAATCTCCTTAGTTTTTTCTCCAAACCATTTAGTTTTGTGAATACATAAGTTATTTATTTTTTGGTGAATCATAATATCAACTAATTCCATTAATTTACCAATGAGAGTGTATATTTTAAGATTCTATCCTAATATTAGTTTCATTGACAAATTTTTTTACTCGCATCCGTCCGTAATGTGGAAACCCTTGCTTATTTGACACTACATCCGGGCGCCAGTAGCGGCTCTTGCACACGTTTCACCATATTCAGGTCATACAACGCATAGCTTCCATAGGACGCTCTAGCATTTACACAATGATAAAAAAGATTCATGTCATGATTTTTCGAAAAAATTTACGCTGGTTGTCGACTACCTAACACAACTCTCCACTTTTTCACATCCGGGGCTTGGGACCCCGCAATGGCATTGTTGTTTGAACCCATCTACTCAATAAAGATAAAACTCATGCAATCTGGTGATTAGAATTTGCAAACACTAAAGACGGTAGACCAATAATGTACGGGTAGTGGAACAAAAAGTAATTAAAAACCAACATATCAATAAATCCAATAACATGTTAAGAGGTATATGTTATTGAATCAGAACAACAAGAAGGAAGCATAATGAAAGAAAATTTGGCTCAATTTGTAGAAAGGTGACAATCAGGAGAAACAAAACCACTACAAACATACATATGCAGCACATCAATACATACAGTTAATAAACACATCAAAATTCTAAAGCATTAGTCCTAGAAATACAGGAAGACAATCCCTAAAAACTTCACACCCGACAGAAACGGCGTTCTCACATACCATTATGAACACCCAAGAAGAGGAATCGATACTTCAAAGTATATTACAGCGGCTTCGCTCTTCTGCTTGAGGTGCTGCTCCTTGTTGGAACCTGTTCGCATCCGAGGGATTGTAGGTAAACTCGGATGTATCTAGACCATACTGTATGACAAAACCACAATGTCAAAAATTGTCTAAAATGGCGAAGAAATACAAATAACAATAAAGAAGAAAGTGTCAAATCAGCCCCCAGACTATTTAGATGGGGCCATTTTAATCCAATAGTTTAAAAAAAATGTCAAGTTAACCTCTACACTATTTTAGTGGGGGCTAAAATAATTCTTGCTACAGACTACCTCAACCCATATTAAAAGAGTACGGTAACTAAATTAACATTTTTATAAATTATGGGACTAAAATACCCATACTGTATGACTAAACGACGATGCAAAAAAATGGACAGGAAATGCAAATAATCAAAAAGCGAAGTGTCAAATTAGTCGCGTGACTATTTAGATGGGGTCATTTTAATCCCAAAGTTTATAGAAGTGTCGAATTAATCATGAGGTCTAAAATAGTTCTCATTAGAGACTATTTCAACCCATATTAAAAAAGTATAGGGACTAAATTAACATTTTTATAAACTCTAAGACTAAAATTACACCCGGCCAAGCGTCAGGGAACATTTTGACATTTTTCCCTAATAAAAAATGAAAATTTTCTAAAAAAATAAAATGGCACCTTTTCCCTCATTCGTTGGCTCCAAGCATCATTCCTACTGGGGCGCTGATCAAGGGTCGCAGTCAAAGGAACCCCAGTTGCAGGTTGTCCCTGCCTATTGATCAATGGCTGGCGTAAATTAGACATTGCAGCGATGTACTCGTCATCACTGTCATAATCTGCAGGTCGGTTTGCAGCTCTGACTAAAATAGCAAGCAAGAAGACGAGTGCCTGCAAAATAAATTCAGCAATTTTCAAACTTAAATAGCTTGTCATCGCCACAAAACTTGAGAATATCCACTAAGCACAAGGATCGGGAGACCAACAAGGCAAACAGATATTGTGGTCTAATATCACAGAAATCTGAAAACAAAAAATTTGATGCAGCGGGATAGAGATCAGACATATGATTCACTGCAAATGAGAAAAATATGTGCATGAGCCATAATATTTTAAAAAGTACAGTGCCAAAATAGTGCACTGCCTAGTTACATTGGGTCATTTGAATCCTAGAATTTATAGAAGTGTTGAATTAGCAACTGTTTTAATGAGGGCAAAAATAACCCTCATTAGTGATTATTTCAACCCATATTAAAAAGTCTCAAGACCAAATTGACAATTTTATAAAGTATGGGACTAAAATAATCCGTTGCAAATAATTAGGGGACCATTTCGACACTAATCTCATATTTAAACTGAAAGCAAACCAATAGGATAATTGTAAAATAGCAAAAGAATGTTTATTCATGGTATGCTGAACAGATTAAACCATGCCATTCTATCACCACACGATATTAAGTCAAGATTAGAAATAAAAAATAGGTATGATTTATGAAAAACAATGGAAAAGTATAAGAGGACTTGATTCTTATTGATGCAAAGAGGGTATAAAAACTCATTACAGGACTTACAGATAAGGAAAGTAATAAAAACAGAATACAATAGACAAAGAAAGAAATAATAACAAATATAAGAGACAGCTAATCTCTCTAATTAAGAAGAAAAAATAAATAGAGATTCCTAGGATCCCTTATACAATGTATAACCCTATAAATATAGAGTTATAACAAATATGAAATATAATCATCATTATTTATGAGATTTTTCAACACTCCCCTCAAGCTGACATGAAAATGTCACTCACGGCAATCTTGCTAATTAGATTCTCGTGTTGCACTTTGGAAAGATTTTTTATTAGAATATATGTTATTTGGCTTATAAGTGGGTATGTAGGACATACATATCACACCACTACCTATCTTCTCGTTGATGAATGTTTGTCAACTTCTACATGTTTTTTTCTGTCATGTAGAACAGGATTATGAGCTATAGAGATTGCAGCCTTGTTGTCGTAGTAAACTTTAATAGGTGCTGGTATATAAATCTTTAACTCTTTCAGGAGTCTTTTTATATATAATACTTCACAGAGTCTCAGTGCCACCGAGCTAAATTTTGATTCACTTCTTGCTACCACACCTTGTTTTTTACTTTTCTAAGTAATCAGATTTCCGCCTACAAAGGTACAATAACCTAATGTGGATCTTCTATCATTTACATCTCCTGCCCAATCTGCATCTGCGTAGGCCTTTATTAGAAGATGTTCTCCCTTTTTGAACAAAAGTCTTTTTCCAGGAGTTCTTTTGAGATATCTCAAAATTCAGAATATAGCTTCGAAGTGAGTAGGTCCAGGTGAATACATGAATTGACTCACAACACTCACTGCAAAGGCTATGTTATGTCGAGTGTGAGCCAAATAGATTAGTCGCTATGAGCCAAATAGATTAGTCGCCCTACCAATCTTTGGTAGCGTGCTTTATCCATTACCTCATTAACAGTTGTTGTTTTCAACTTTATATTAGGTTCAATTGGTGTATTTGTTGCCTTGCAACCTATCATTCCTGTTTCTTTGAGTAAATCAAGTACATACTTGCGTTGATCGACAAAAATTCCTCTTGGATCTTGCAAACTCCATTCTGAGGAAATATTTCAGCTTTCCCAAGTCCTTAATATCCAAATTTGAATATCAAATTCGACTTCAAGTTTCCTCTTCAAGTTGATAATCTATAGAGGATCATCTCCTGTCATGATTATGTCAATTACATAGACAATCACAATGGCTACTTTATCTTTGATGGAATGTTTGAAAAAAAAAGTGCGATCAGCTTGGCTTTGAGAGAATCAATGTCTCTTGATAACATCACCAATACGCTCAAACCAAGCTCTAGGAGACTGTTTTAACTCGTACAGAAACTTTTTTAATTTGCATACTTTACCTTTTCCAAATTTTTCTTCAAATCCGGGTGGTAGGTCCATATATACTTCTTCTAGCAATTCTCCATTTAAAAACACATTTTTTACATCAAATTGATGAAGTGGTCAGTCAAAGTTAACTGCAAGAGAAAAAAGTACTCTAATAGAATTAATTTTAGCAACAGGAGCAAAAGTCTCTTGGTAATCAATACCATGAGTTTGAGTAAATCCTTTTGCTACTAGTTTCGCTTTGTATCTCTCCACATTTCCAATAGCTTTAAACTTCACTGTGAACACCCATTTGCACCCAATCGTCTTTTTGTCTTTATGTAAATTAATGACTGTTCAAGTGTTATTTCTTTTAAGAGCATTTATTTCTTCCATCACAACTAATTTTCAACTTGGTTCACCTAATGCTTCCTAAACAGTTCTTGGAACAAGCATATTAGAAATCCTAGACTCTATCAAATGTACTATAATTTTTTGATAGTTTTTTATATGACAAGTATTGTGTGATAGGATGGTTTGTGCTTGTTCGGATTCTTTTTCTGAAAGCAATTGGAAGATCAAGATCAGAAGGAGTGGAAGTAGAGGAGGGAAGGTTACTCTGAGTTGTAGGGTCATTATTCGGCAAAGGTGATTGAACATCTGCTGAGAGAATAACTGGAGCTATAGTAACTTTATGAAATTTCTTCCTAGTATAAACCTGCAGCTCATGTTGAGGATTATGATCCGTTGGAAGTACTTCTCCCCCTATCTCTGATAAAGTAACATCTGACAAAATAGAATTAGTAGTGCTGACCCTCGTTTCCATATCATAATTAGTTAAAGAAATGGGTAAAGTTTCCCAAAAATTATTTTTTTCAACTAAGTTCTCCCCCTAATGGATGATCCTCTACAAGCTTGACATCCATGCTTTCAAAAAAATTTTTTTTTTCCGGATTAAAACATTTGTACTCACATTTATTGGAAGCATATCCAATAAAAACATATTTTTTATCTTTGAGATCAAATTTTGGGCGAAACACATTTGGGATATGCACATAACAAACACATCCAAAAACTTTTAAAGGGAGATCAGCTGTTATCTTAGATGTGGAAAAATAATTTTTTAAGACTTGTAAAGATGTTTTAAATTTTAGAACTCGAGATGATATTCTGTTTATTAAATAACAAGAGGTAAGGAATACATTACCCCAAAAATATTTAGGAACATTCATGGAAAACATAAGTGTCATGGTAACTTCGAGTAAATGTCTATTTTATTTTTAGCAATACCATTTTGTTGTGGTGTGTCACGACAAGTGGATTGATGTCGAATATTTTTTTTATAAAATAAATGTTCTCAAATATTTGTTGAAATATTCAGTCCCATTATCCGTTCTTAGAAAGTCAATTTTTGTTTGAAATTGATTTTCAATCATGTGGAAAAAATCTTTAAATCGTTGTTCAACTTCAGATTTCTTTTCCAATAAATACACCAAACAAACTCGTGTGTGATCATCAATAAATGTTACAAATCATTTTTTTTCCAGAAAGTGTGTTAACTTTGGATGGGCCCCAAACATCACTATGCACCAAATAAAATGGTTTTAAAACAAAATATGATTTTATTGAAAACGAAACACGATGACTTTTAGATAAATTACATGTTTTTCCATGAAGTTTTGAACAATCAATAATTTTAAATAGTTTTGAAAATAAAGATCTGAGATATGGAAAGCTATGATGCTCTAATCTTTTATGTCATAACATAACTTGATCATAGGCAAAACTTGAACTCGTACTACCTAATCTATGAGTTGTTTTATTCGCAGAATCAGTTCCATCATAGTAGTACAACCTATTTATTTCTCTAGCAGTTCCAATCATCTTCCTCGAGTTTCGGTCCAGAAAAACACAATTGGAATGAGAGGAAAAAATTGAATAATCAGAATCTTTAGACAATTTTCCAACAGAAAAAATATTACATGTAAGTTTTGGAACATGTAAGAAAGATTTCAAAGATATTTTTTCTGAAATTTTAATATTTTCTTTTCCTGCAATAGGTGAAAAACTGGCATCGGCAAAACTGCATCGGCAATTATGATTTTTTCGAAATCGGAATATGGATAATATAAATCAAATAATTGAGAACAACTTGTCATATGATCAGAGGCTCCTGAATCATTGATCCAAGGAGTGGTACTTCCTAGAAAAGCCAAAGGATTACTACCTGCTTGTGCTATAGAACCGATAGGCGGATTAGATGATGAGCAAGATTTCAGCAGTTTAAGAAGATGACTTAAGTGTTCTTTACTAAGTGAAGATGACTCAGCCTTATTTGCGGTAGTTGTGTTATATTCACCAGATTTTTTTCCCTTACCTTTAGGTCATTTACCATGCAATTTCCATTATTTTTCGCGAGTATGGCATGGCTTTCCACAGTAGTCACGGTGCATATTGTTTTTGTCTTCTACACGCTGGTTGTGAGAAGTTTTCCTGCTTAGTTGAGCTTCAGGAATAGCCAGCACTGATCCTTCCACGGACTAAGTTAAACCTGCAGTCTTCATTCCCAACATTACATGTCTCCGACTCTCTTCTCTCCTTACCTCTGCAAAAACTTCACCAATTGGAGGCAGGGGGTTTCTTCCAATTATTTTCCAATTATTCGGCGTCCACGGACCTCATCATATTCAACGTTTAGACCTGCAAGAAATTTGAAGATTCGGTCAGTATCCACTATCTTCTTGTATTGGTTGTTGTCATCGTTTGGTTTTCACTCATGATCGTTGAATAAGTCCAGATCATGTCAAATCCACTTAAAAGAATTGAAATACTGTCACAAAATCCTCATCTTGGCAAATTTCCACAAGTCGCAGGGTCATCTCATAGACTTGGGATTGATTTTCAAGATCAGCGTAACACAAATAATTTGCACTTATCTCTTCAGTCCTGGAATTGACCAACCATGTCATTACGGTTGAGTTTTCCGCATCCCAAATGACATAAGTTATGTTATTCACGTCAGTTTGTTTAGTATCACCTGTGATATAATCAATCTTTCCTCTTCCTCGGAGATACATGCGAACAGATTGTGACCATCGAAGAAAATGAAAATTATAGAAAATTATCACAATTTAGTCGTATTGTAGTGATTTGAATGGGATGATTGTCAAATATATTTCTCTGAGGTTCGAGCTGAGATGACTGAAGAGGCTGATTTGTCCTAGCCGTGACTTCAGACATTTTAGAGATGAAGGACAGTGAATTTGCTCGAGCCCGAGATTCGCCCGAAAAGATTACCGCCTTCAGAGAATTACCGCCTTCGCGAGACAGGAAGAAAAGGGAAAGCGGAAGATGCTACAGAGGATCGTACGCTTGCTATCGGAGAGAACAGAGGTGGACGAGGCGAAGCAGTCGTCAAATTGATCGAGCGGCGAAGCAGTCGTCAAACCGATCGAGCGGCGAAGCAGTCGTCGAACGACGAGCGAACGGTTGGAGCTCTCCAGGCGGTTGAAGTCGTCGAGCGGCGAGCGAGCAGTTCGAACAGCTCGAGATCGAGCGACAAGTCGTTAGTGCGTCGAACAACTCCACAATAGAGATCGAACAGCTCCAAGGTCGAGCAGCACCAATCAGGCGAACGGCTCCAAAATCGAGCTCTCCAGGCGAAGCAGACAACTCCAAAGATTTAGATCCTCAATATATGTGGCTCTGATACCATGAAAAACAGTGGAAAAGTATAAGAGGACTTAATTCTTATTGATGCAAAGAGGGGATAAATATCCATTACAGGACTTACAGGTAAGGAAAGCAATAAAAACATAATACAGTAGACAGGGAAAGAAATAATAACAAATATAAGAAATTGCTAATCTCTCTAATTAAGAAGAAAAAATAAATAGAGATTCCTAAGATCCTTTATATAATTTATAACCCTCTAAATATAGAGTTATAACAAATATGGAATATAATCATCATTATTTATGAGATCTTTCAATAATTTATAATAAGAAATAAGGTTTTTACCTCAAAAATAACAGCTCCAAGAGCAACCCACTTCACAATCTTCCAATTCTCCTTTAAGAAGCCATAAATCATGTCAAATCTTCCAGTTGTGTCTTTTGGAATCAACTGCATAGAAATATAAAATCAGGAGAAGTAAAGAGAGATTGAATATAGGAGATCACGAATAACCATGAGAGAAAACTCACATCTTTCCAGTCATGATCAAAAAATATGAAAGCAGCAGCTCCCAGTTCCAGCAGGATTAACAAGATTACCAAGAAAGCATACTTTAGATGACTTAAGGAAACTACTGGATTGACTAGAAACAAGAAGAAAACAAATAAGGTTTTTGCTGTTTACAAAGCAATAAAAGGTGTCTTATTAGACTTATAGTTAGAGTTTAGAGCTAAGTTGCTCTACAAAGTGTGATATCCAGGGGCGGAATCAGAGAGAAGGCAAATGCCCCCAAAATATAAAGGCAAATGTCCAGGGGCAGATTTTTCGATATAAGTAATAAAATTTGGTAAAATTTTCTTATATAATTTATACTATTCAATAATTTTGACCCCCAATATATATTCGTTTGTTCAATACCTGAACATTTGGTAAATTTGCCCCCCACCCCCCCTAAAAAATAAAGCTACTCCCGCCCTTGACCCAATACCAAAACCACTCTAATCATGACCAAGTTAGGTTGCATAACTAGCTTTCAGGCCTAGTTCTGACCATGATTGTGTGTAATTAGAACCAGGCGCAGTTTTAAAGAGCATTGTAGTTCTAAAAGACTCCACCAAACTGCATCATCAACTAAATAATTTTTTTCTATGGGACGTAAATATTAATCTTCCAGTCAATATAAAAAACATAAATCTCTTCAAGGGAGAAGTATTGATTATGAATGCAAAGAAACTAAGCATGTGCAATAAATCTGAAAAAAATTGAATTTAGGATACACAGGATAGGCAGCATCCGTTTCTACTCACTGCTCCGATACAGCCAAAGAAAGATATCACAAAGAGAATAGCGCCAATCCCAATGAACACATAAATAAACCTGCAGAAGAAGTATACTATATAAATGGGCAGCCAGATAATGATTAATATATGCATGGAAATTCCAAGCTTTCATAGAATGATAAATTTTTGCAGATGGTTAAAAGTTCGAAAAGGACTAGGAGAAAGAAGAATTACCGAATTCGGACAGAATAGCCAATTAAAAAAACAGAATTTATGCTTACTCTGTAAATCTAGTTTCCAGAAAACAGAAAGCGCTCTGCAAAAGTTGTTTATTAGTTACCTTTTCTGCCAGTGTGTTGGTGTATTCCAATGAATTAAACTCCAATTACAGCTCAGTATGCTTAGGGTTGTAAATGAACTGAGTGTTCCACTGACTACTAATGGCTCAGCATTTAGAGCTAGTTCATGATCATTTAACTAACCAAATAAATGAGTAATACTCGTTAGCAAAATGAATAAGTTTGAACAACTTCTATGTTCACGAACAAAGTTATTTAAAACTCATTAACAAGCTTTATTCAGCTTAATTAAGGCTCATTTGTTAATGGTGGCGTTTAAAAGTTTATTTTTTAATGCACAACAAGCTCTGTTTGATCACCTTATTCATTTTTCCAAACATGCTGCCCCTATAAAACTCGAATAAGAGTTAATGCCGAATTAGAGCTTAATTAATGCTCATATATTTTGTTAAATGAGCTACTCATTAATAAGCTCTAATTCCAATATAAACCAAGCTCAAACCGAGTCCTTGCCGAGCTAATACAATCCTAAAAGCTTGATTCGAGCTTGAGCTGAGCTCATTTATTAAGCTCATGTTTAAGCTTGAGCTCAGTAAGTATGCTTATTGATATAATCTCACACAGCAAAGAAATACTATTGGAAAAATAGTGACCTTGGTCAATTTAACATTTCATCATTCTTCAAATTTCCAATATAAAAACTCTGTTGATGGATGCTGTTTACTCTTTTTCTGACTACTACTCATCCATCAAAAAGATTCTAAGAAAAAAATGCTTTCTGTATCATTTAGTAAAAGCTACCAGAGAAACCAAATTTTGTTGCCATAAGGCTTTTGAACTAGAAATCAAATGCTCCTTCAACAGACGAATAAAAATTTTATCAGATAATATAGAAAGCTCTGGGGAAAAAAAAAACATCAACATACTTTCTTTGGCTTAAAAAAAAAAAGCTATAAAATAAAAAATTAAAAAAAAAACTTTATTTTGACTTGAATACTATACTGCTTAGAAGATGAAAGAAAAAAGTGGTTCTAAGATCAACTGGCATACTTAGCAAGAAGCCGCAAACTCTATCCAGATTGACTTTCTCTCACCTCAACATCATCATCATAATAATACAAATTCATTTCCAACTATTAATTAATTTATTAATAAAGCACTTCTCTGCATATCCCATCTTTCTCATTCAAATTTTAGAGCACTTAGAACTAAGGTTATTGATACGATCCGGCGTCAAAATTGTCACGCTTTTATATAAAAAATTGGGCAAACATAAATTTTATTTCCCAAGCACCAAATCAAAGCAATACAACACTAATAACTCACATGAATATAAAAGATAAGCACCTACAATTTGAGTGATGGCGATCTCTCCCAATTCCTACAATTCAAGAAGTAGACAATCTCTCTCAGACCCTAAATCTAAGATACAAGACTTAATCTCATACATATACCTAACTCTAAACATAAAAAGCTTATTTATACCCAACAACAACAATAATAAAAGACTAAATTGTCCTTAGACAAGGCATCGACGTAACAACACTATCCCCTCCCAAAAGACGCCTTCTCCTCAAGATGAAAAGACTAAAAAGTGAGTATTCCTCTACCAATATAGTGGTCTCTATTTCTTCAACCTCTGCCTCCATGTAACGCACTATGATAACTTATAATTTTCAATCATTGCAACAATATCCTGGGGTAAACTTCTAATCACACCAAAAATATAATCACTTAACTCACTTTGCCACATCCCAACTGCCCCCCAAGAGTCGGTTGTGATGCGACGAGGTGAACAATTCGATCAGACAAAATTCTCACTACTACTCATCCCGACTTACAAAATCATGGCCTAGTGGGTGATGAGCTAGTCTAATTAAATCACCGCAAAGATACTTGATACATTTATTTCATAATTCATTCACATGTATATACTCAGAAGAGTGAACATTATATCATCTAAACACACACACACACAGAACTGCTAAACCCAACAAATAGAAAGTACGTGCCCAAAAAAATTGTATAAACTCCACTATAAACTGCAAAAACTATACAATTCACTTGAGTACTTGCCCCGATGCTCCTTACTCTTCCTAAAAATCAACGTAGAATGAAAAACAACGAGTTCAGCGAAATAATCAAGCTAAAATAAGATTTTATATACGAAAAAGAAACAACGTGCATGCTAGTATATAATTCATATATATATCCATAACACATGACACAACATATTATAAATGTATAAAACATGAAAAAGAAATAAGAAGAAATGCAAGGAATCATGACTATTGTATAAAATATGCATTTTTTTTCATTTATATGTAATCATAAGAATGTAATTATAAACATGTTCGTAAGAGTCATTAATTTAATCATAGGAATGTCACTTGCAATTATATAGCTCTCAACTCTCATGTCATTGGGTCGTCACTCAGCCCGAATGCCACATTAATTATTGAAAAAGATTGGGCCCCACAACATAGCATTTATAAATAGCCCTCCTGGTACCAACGATGCCACATTAATTATTGATAAAGATTGGACCTCACAACATAGAATTTATCAATAGGTTTTCTGGTACCAACAATTCCCTATATTCTACCACCGTCTGATTCCAACGTTTGTAGAGTTTCATCACCATTTGAATAGCGGGAGCCGAGAATCTCACCAATTCCAATCATCCGTACTTGCAAGTTTTCATGTAATAGTTTATCTATAATATCACCTGTGACATTTCTTAAAGCATAATTTTTGTAACAAGCATTCATCAGTCATTGCATAATCATATGCATGCATTATAACAAATAAATACATACAATCAATGATTTCATAAGAATAATAATCATATTCATCACATAGTAAAAAAAGTTGTATTATAAAAGACAAATCAAATATGCAATTATATAGTCTATGCAAATGTTCATCCAGAATATGCAGAAAATTATAAATGCAATAGTGTCAAATACATAAAAAATGAAAATTTACAGAGATTTATTCTTCTCAATTTAACAAAAAATCATTTTAATTGAATTTTAGGAGCAGCTCTACGACTAATTTCTACACTGGTCTTGAGCTCACTGCCCAGCATAATCTAAAAATCATAGAGACCTTAGAATTTTATAATATCTTAGCTCATTTCAAGATTTAACCCCAACATAACTTTATAAATTCTTACCTCAAACGAGCTTCTTGGCATAACCAACTCTTCTCGAAGAGTTCTTATTCTTCTTCCCTCTTCGTCATATTCCCTTAATCCAAATTTTCAACACTGATTTTGTGCAAAAGTCCCTTACAGAAGCTCAAAAACCAATTATAATCCCGAACGCAAGTTTGCTTCCGCTACAACTATCAAAAATAAAGAAGTGTATCAATTTGTGACATAAGTCAAAATGTAAGTGCAAAGCAGAAAAAAATGTCTCAAATAGCATGAAAAAGGGTTTCCTACTCACAATTTTCTCCTGGAGCTTCTATCCACGAGTTGTGGCACCCTGTGGGTTGCGTGCCTGCTCTATTCACACCTGTGCTACAGGAGCTAAGCGTTGAAGCTAGCGGGAAGAGAAATCGAGAGAAGGGAAGACTAGCATTTAACGCACCCCCATTTTACTCTTAGCAGTAGGATCGAATCAAGCCAATGCATGCCAAGAAAATTGCAGAAAATTTGGCCGTCAACCGTGAATATGTGGGATTAGGAATTTAGTTAAGTTTTAATTAAGTTAATTAAGCTCAAAACTTCCTCATTTTATATCTTCTTATCTGTTCAAAATTCATGCATAGTGCTATATCTCGAATTGATCAGTTCGACACATAAAATTGTAAAAAATTTATTTGGTTGAATTTTGAAAAATGCAAAATCTAGGGTATACTTTGAAATTACCAAAATTGAGTGTTATAGCTCTCATCTCATTATATAAATTTTGTCCTTCAAATTTTTGACTTTACTTGAACAGAAAGGGATATTTTTGTCGCATTTATTCTTTTTCTCATTAAGTTTAATTTTCAGACATGTGCTTCCACTTTATCTTGACAAAAGGAACCTGTTAATTCCTCAACTTCCTAAATTCTGTTTTTAAAATAATTTCAGATTCTTCATTTAAATTCAATTTTCATGTACTTCAATATCTTCATGTGAAACCCTCTGATTTGAATTTGAAACTCATTTTCACAACATTGAAATGTGAAATACAATGAATATATGGCATATCAGCAGGTAAAGCTAGTTTGTAAGAAACTAGACCAATCCTTTCTATAGTTTCAAAAGGACCGATGTAACTAGGACTCAACTTGCTTTCTTAACCAAATTCGGCGGCAACTTTCATTTTCATGACTTAAACAAAATCAGCAATTTTAGATTCTATTATTTTGTGCTTTGAGTCATAATATTTCTATTATCAATCAACAACTTTCAATCTATTTTTGATTAACTTGATTTTCTCTGTAGTTTCATCAGCTAACTCAGGAGCTAACATTTGGCGTTCACTGACTTCAACCCAACTTAATGAAGTTCTGCATTTCCTGCAATACAGTGTTTCATAAAAAGCCATTTTGATATTGGATTGTTAACTGTTATTGTAGGCAAACTCAATTATTGGAATGTTATTTTCCCAATTGCCTCTAAAGTCAAGAACACAACCTCAACAAATCTTTCAACACCTGAATTGTCTTTTATAAGTATCTGTCGGTTTGTGGATGAAATGTTGTGCTAAAATATAAATGTATACCCAAGCCTTGTCGAATGTCTTTCCACGACCTAAACAAAAATCTTCCATTATTGTAAAAAATGATAACTTCTAGAATT